TGTTTAAGCAGAAAAGGTCATACTGGACAGATCATTTGAAACAAATGAGAACCATTTGCCAGCAGGGTGAATGCCAGTTCCTGAGTGCTAGAATTGGGTCAGTTCCTGAGAAAATTGGGTTGGAAAAAAATAAGTAGTTGGGATTTGAAACAATAGGGCTCCACAACACAACCATCAGTGCTGGAGCACCGGGAGGGACCAGTGAGTGCAGGTTGGTGCTGAACAGTGCCTGCTGGTCCAGCCTCCTCTGGCCACCCTCCTGTCCAAAACAACCCCCTTTGCAAAATGCAGATGCTTCTCTCTTCCTCTCTTTGTGCTGGTAGCTGATGCTTGTGTGTCTCCCCCTGCCAGAGTCGGTGCAAACCCCAAGCTGGTCCTGGAGGAGCTCAGCTGAGGGCACTCCAGAGAGGATCCATGCAAAGCCCTTGTGTAGGAGAGACACCAGTGGCTCAGGGCACACCTCTGCATGAAGGCCACATGCTCAGACCTTGGCTTGTACCGACCTGACTGTAGCTGTCAGCAGAGCTGACAAGCTGTGGGACAGACAGGGCAAATCCCTACACAAGCTGGACCAGAGCCTTACAGCCTGGAGGTCAGGGCAGGGAGAGGCAGGCAATTTGCAACTCACTGACAATTCTGCAGATGGGGTTAAGTTGCAAAAGAGTCCTTCATGAAGTGATGACAAGCTCATGGAAGGAGATGGAACTGAAAACAGCCCAGCTCTGGCTCACCAGCCAGCCCTGGGAGGGTGCCCTGGCAAAGCTCTGAGCTGTTCCCGAGCTCTGTGGCTGGTGGCATCACTGCTGGCTGGGCTCAGCCCTTCACTGTGGTGCCCTCCTGTGCCCACCTTTCTTTGGAGCCCCACAGTAGCAGCAGCAAGACACTCCTGTGCCCAGCAATGGGAAAAACCACAGGCATTGTTTCCCGCTTGTCTGCCTTCCCTGTTGCAACTGTATCTGGAAGCTGACTCCTCTGGTTTGCTCATGGATTAGATTTTTGGGGATTTGTCAGCTGGGTGACTGACTCCTGGAGTCATTATGTGCTCAGGAACATCTCACAGAAGCTTCCTCCTCCTCCTCCAGGAGCTTGGTCAGGTCCCAGAGTCCCACAGCTGCTCTGCACTAAAGGCCAGGGCAAGCAAACTTGTAAAAGTGCCTCTGGGCTGAATAAGAAATTTCAAAGAGCAGAGAGGCCCCTCTCTGCTGGGCTCTTGGGCTCTGACAGATATGCAGTTGCATGCACAAACCAAAAAGTGCTTCTGTAAAAAAATCTGCCTCTGTTTGACGAAATAAAGGAACAGCAGCATCGCTGCCGAAACGTTTCATTGCAAATGGCAAAGTGGCTGGCAAAGATCATTAATGGAGCTAAATACAAAAGATGGGCCAAATCTCTTCTGGTTAAAATATATTTGATATATTCAACCCATTCTTGCTGCACTGGTTCTCTCAAGCAATCCATTGTCATCCTAGATTAAAATACGGGGATGTGACAGTTCAGAATAAAAGCTTTCAACTTTGCAATTCAGGTCTGTGTTTAGAAGCAGCTTTCTATTGGAACAAAATAAAACCTAAAAGGCTCTAGCTATGAACGGGCCATTTGATATCGAATAGCCCGAGCCATTTGATCCAAAGGGATAGTTTTGAAATTGCCAGTGGCGTGGAAAATCGATGGCTTGTAAAAAGCCTCTTAACTGTCTCTCGTTTCAGGGAAGCCACTCTGTTTTACAGAACTTGCATTAAACAAGGCACCACAATAAAGGACTCAGTAATTCTGAACAGACTGTGGCCTCCAGCACAGCGTTGTGGATTGCACTGGAAAGGGGATGTCACCATGAGGAGACAGGCTAGGAAGAGGAGCGTGAGACAGTGGAGACAGAGTGTTGCAAGAAAAGAAACCCCTTCTTTGCACTAATAAATTAAATACTTACAGCTATCATGGGATTTCAGGAAATGCTGGACAGAATCCAGGCTCTCTAGCAATGCACAGCGTCAATATTTATCTTTTGGTGAGTGGAGACCTCAGTTTTCCATATTTCTTTGCAGATGGCTACTATCCCGGCTTTGATGGCATCTTAGAAGGGGACAGCAGCTGTTTGAATGTGCCTATATCATGTAAGCCAACAAAGCAGCTGCCATGGAGCTGGCTCTGCTGAAATCTTTGCTTTCTGTAATCAGTGCTGTTCCCAGAAAGACCAGTCCAGCTGAAAGCTGAGCATCACACACTCCCTCTCCCTGCCAGATGACTCCGTGGTGGGTCCCCGGCTGCCTACGAGGCACCCCTTACACACATCCATCATCAGTTCCCTGCCATTCCCAGTGAAATGGTTTCTGTGTGGAACGTGTCTCCTACCTTGGGAACACACCCTGACCAAAGTGTCCCCATCCTGTTGGCTCCTGTCTTCACACTGAGTCATCTTCTGCTCCTTGAGCAGTTTCTTCCACAACCTGTCCGTGCCCTTTGCCCACACAGGGACTTGCTCTGACTCTGCCTCCCCTGCAGCTGGGCTTGGGCTGGGAGTTTAGCAGAGACTGTGAGAATAATTTCATTCTTATTGTGGCACAGTGTCGGTTCTAACAAAGGACTGGGTTCTGCTCTGGCACACCAGAGCACGTAAAACTTCTGTAGAAAAGATTTACAAGGTGTGCTGAGGAATTAGACTATAATTAAATAGACATATAAAAAAAAGAGGTTGAAACCGTTATTAAAGTAGAAACATTTTGCATGGAATGCTGTCACATTAACTACGAAAACAAGCCTGGCAGCAGAGCAGGACACTGCAGATTGGCCCTGAGGCCGTGCATGGGGAAGGCAACAGGATGGGCAAAGCAGTGTCCCCAGTGTGCAAAGAGCAGCTGCCTCTGATGGCACCAGCACAGACAGCAAAAGGAGCCAGTGCTCCACCTCACTATTCAGGCCTTGCTTTACATTCCCAAAGTAAGGACACACTCCTGGCTTTTGCCTGTTTCATCTTTTAAAAGTGATTTTTTTCTCTGCAAGTCTCCAAGCCCTTGGGATAAGTAAAATAAATTTCCTTTTCCTTCTCCTTTAAACTCCATCCAACGTCTCGTACTGGAGAGTTGACGGAGGTGTTGGCAGAGGTCTTCTGGTGCAATCATTGTGCAGTGGGACTAATAAGAGAAAAGACAGATATTCTGCACAGTTGAATGCCCTGCCCTGGGGTGCCAGGGGACCTGGCAACTCCCACTCTCCTATTTTTCACCTCCTGCCTTTGTCTCCAGTTGGGATGCAGCGCTGCCACTGCAGTGAGCAGGATCTGGAGCCAGTTCCAGAGGGATGAGCACAGGGTCAGTGCATGAGCAGGGCAGCTGCACAGGCAGGAGGGAGGGCAAGGTCCAAATCATCATCACAGAATCGTCCTTGAACCCTGAGCTGCAACTCTGAGCATTTAAAACAGCGTTTTCCCTGGGGGCAGATGTTTTCCCTGGAGTGTGAGGGGACAGCAGTGCTGGCCTGCTCTCCTGTGCCTTCCCCATCCCATATGGTGACCAGGAATCACCAATGCAAACAACAGCCCCTTATGGCTCACATGAATATCTCACTGGTGTCCTTTTCAGATACAGATCTGAAAAGGACATTTTCCCCCAGGAAAGAAGCGTTAACCCAGAATAACTGCTTGGGGAGGACAGACAGCCCCTCCATGATATCTGCTGACAGCTCTTATCAGAAAGCCAGTGCTGAATTAGGACTAGCCTAAGTACTGTCAATTATATGAAAAGGTGTTTAAATCTTCCCATAAAAAGAAAAAAAAATGAGAAGACACTGAAGTTAGGAATGACCACAGGAAGGATTTCAGAACAGCCAGAATGTAGCTGGAAAGGGATGAGACACATTGGTCCAACAATGGTGTAAATACACACACACACATACACACACACATGCTTGTTTGAAAATACTTAGTTTAAGCATCACCTTGAACTCTGTGCAGATACAACCAAAGTTATTTTAAGAACACAAACATCATAAATAAATAAAAGAGTGCAGGAAAACTCTTTCAAATTCATGTAGAAATTATGGTATGCATCAATCCATATTCTGCACTACACTGAGTTTCAGACACACACTCACACAAAATAAAATTAAAATATAAAGCAGTTATGGCTTACCATAAGGCATCAGGATTTTCCTTTGAGCCAGGTAACACACAACACAAAATATTTATTAGCTCTTAAAAAGCAAAAACCAGAACAGTAAAATGGAAGAAAAAGCCCTGCATATGTTCCTGTTTCTAGAGAGTAGGTTTCAAGCAGCTGCCTGAGAACAGCCAGCCTGGAAGTGTCCTGTGTGTAGAATGCACACGATGAAATAGGGGAAAAAACCACCAGAGCTCACAGGCATCTGGCTCAACATCCCCTCCCAGGGAGCAGAGTCAGCACATTACACTCATGGCTTGTAGTAAACAGCTCCACAACGACATGTGAGGGATTTTCCTGCCACAGGGTGCAATTTGATCAGGAAAACCTTGATTAGTGCGAACTGAAGGGTTTGGTGGTTCCACCGAATTTCCAGCAGGCTCCTGCCTGGCTGTGGACACCAGCACAGGGACAGAGCCACAGACCCTGCAGCAAGAGGCTTGCTGGGGGCTCTGGGGCGAGCAGGTGGGAAAACCTTGCCAACCCTGCCTGCTCTGGGAGGATTCAGGTCCCCCAGTTCCCATCACCTGTAACGCCGTGACTGCTGCAGGTCTGCACATCCTGGACTAACATCAGTCCCTCAGCTGTGCACAGGCAGGTCTCCACAGGCTGATGGAGACAGCTGGACTTCCTTATTTGCTGGGAGAAGAAAAAAAAAACAACAACAAACAAAAGTGTTGTAAAGTAAAACATTTTTTATCCAGTGGGAAATTTTGTTGTTTGCGTGGGGCTCCTTGATCAAAGAAAAACCTTATTCTCCTGAAATATGTTTTGCCCAAGGTCCTGACCAGATGACTGTGGCTTTCAGGCAAGCAACAGAGCAGCTGGAAAAACCTGCCCTCAAGCAGTTACAGGAGGACGTGACACTGGTGGGATGGAGTTGATTCACTGAGAGCTGAGACCTCACGTCCTGAGGAAGATCCTGGCTCTCCAGCTGTAAACTATTCTCATGGTGAAGAAGAACCTGCTGGCAGGACGGCCCTCCAGGGAGCTGCAGCTACAGCTGGTTGGTCTTCCCCTGCACCAGCTGGCCAGTGAAATCAGGAAGAGGTTAGATTTCACAGGTATAATTTGCCTTGTGGATGTTCTTGCACAGGTTTGTTCTGCAGCAGGAAATACGATCGGGGGAAAAGGTTAGAGCAGATTCTTCTGTCAGCACTGAAATCCCCGTGCACACAGAGCGTGGACACATTTGGGAACAGTGAAAAGGAAAGCAGAGGAACAGCAATCCAGGGGAGATGGATGAGCTGCTTTGCAGCTCTGCTCTCTGCAAGGCATTCCTGGCAGGGTGCCTTTCTCCAGCAGCTGCTGCAGGCCTGGGGTCTGCCAGGGAAGGTGAGGATGGGATAACAGGGTGGTCTGGCTAATCCTGCTCAGCTGTGCTTGGAAAGGCAAGCTGTCCCCTGCCATGCTGGCAGTGGGAGAGCCTGATTCCAGCCAGAGGAGTCCCTGGGATGTTGGGGCCAGAAGGTTTTGCCAGAAAATTTATCAGCAGTTTATAGCAGTGATGAAGGATTAGGTCTACATGACCAGACCTGAAGGTAACACTGCTCCAAGCTCTCCAAAAGCACAGCAGATTAGCAAAGCCAGAGCCCTGGGTGGGCCATTCCCACACAAGTCTCCCAAAGGTCCTTTTTAATAGGGGTTGTGTTGGGTTTGCCTTCTGGAGAAGTTCACAGAGTTGCACCAACCACAGCCTTTTGCCTTGGGTTAAAAAAATGTAAGGAATGACAGGTTTGATATAAATCAACAATGTTTGATATAAATCAACAATGTTTGATTCCCCACGGACAAAGGAGTGGAAATTTGCCAGAGCCAAAAATCTGATGTCATGGAGGATGTGTAGTTTCCAGAACAGTGAAAAGATGAATCAAGGCACTACTGAAGAGCTATAAAACAGTGACTTGCTGGTTCAGTCCCTGCAGAGACATTACCCCACAAAGCAAACAAATGCCTGAGTTCCCAGCCAACGACTGCTGAGCGTGCAGAGCTTGTAACACCCTACAAGCCGCCTCATCCAAAGACTCCTGCACCTGGAAGTCAAATGTACCCCACAGTCCAGGGTTTGCCTGAAAAAATGACCTACCCCTGTAATGGCTGGATGTGGATTTGAGTCCTCAAACACACAGTTGTCAGGCAGCATGTAGTGACAGGACAAGCAAGAATGGCTTCAATCTGAAAGAGAGCAGGTTTAGGTCAGATATCAGGAAGAAATGCTTCCCTGTGAGGGTGCTGAGGCCCTGGCACAGGTTGCCCAGAGAAGCTGTGGATCCCCATTCCTGGAAGTTGGATGGGGCTCCGAAAAACATGGTCTAGTAGAAGGTGCCCCTGCCCACAGCACAGGGGGTTTGAACTGCATGGTCTTTAAGGCCCCTTCCAACACAAACCATTCCATGATTCCATGATTCTGTGCTCAGTGTCTGTACTCCCTGGAGTGTAACTTCAGGTTACAGGGATGCTGCAAGCCAGGGCTTTGGAAAACCCGCTGCTTCCAGCTCTCAGCAGGAGACCAGAGCATGGCACCTCCCTGACACAAGTTGTTCTCACCCTGCCAGGCTGTGCAACAACTCACAGGTTACTCTCAGTCAGGTAGATTACCACATTTGCCGCAGCAGAGATCATGTTCACACACAAAGGGGGGAGGGAAATGCCAGAGAATGTGGCTCCTAGTCAAAACAATACAGTTCTCACACCACATTTCTCATGCTTGGGCACCGTTAGAGGCACTGCCACCTCCAAAACAGAGCCAGGCTGGGATAGTTTAAATGCAGATCAGTTAGTGATAGGAGAGAACTAGCATTTGCTCCAGGTTCACCTTGGAGGCAGGGTTCAGACAGTTTAAACAAAACCATTGGGTAACACCGAACACCTGAGGTCTCATGATTGAGAAATACAGAATTCTTGCATGCACAGGCTCTTGTGGGTGGGCAGGATTAAGCCCAAAGATCATACTGGTATTTCCTACTAGTTCCCTTCTCTGACTTTCACTGGTGCCATGCTCTGTTGTTGGGGCTTGCCCTGTGTTAGTAAGAGTTGCTTTTGTAGATTTGAGTAATACTACAAAGATGTCCAACAGGAAAAAGAAATATTTCAACAGGCTTTAAGAAATATGCTAATAAATCCTTCACCTATACATCAGTCAATTACCACTTTCAAGATGGATTTTAGCTGGTGGAGAAAGATTTGTCTTAATAGGGAAAAGAAAAACATTGATTTTAATGAAAGGATTTCATTAAAATGAAACAGTTTGCCTGTTTTTGTGAGACATTCCTTTATCCTGTGGGTGCAGCAATCTGCACTCTTCTGAAACTGAGCTGTGCTCTCATAAATTCCTCAAAGTTGGCTGAGCAGTACATTTTTAATCCAACTACAGCCTTTAATATTGAAGAGTTGCTTTCTTCTCCCACTCCTACACCACCTGTCTCTGCAGAAAGCCCCTGGGAACATGCTGCAGGAACAGAGGCATCCCAGGATACTTTCTTAATGAAATCCTACTGACCAGTAAGTCCCTCGAGGCAGGAAGCCCCTTGATCCACGCACTGGCTCAGCCCAAACCATCTGATACGGCTCATTATACACCAAACCATATTTAACTGACCAGGATTTGAACAAAGCCCATGTATTGATAGGAACAGGATAAGCAGGAAAGGTCTCCACAGACATTCAGCCACTGAAATGGGTATGGCCTCGCTGCTCCAGGGCATTGCCTTTAATCCCACAGGCTGGGATTGCAGGTAGGGATGGACAGCAGCACCTCCTGTCCCTGCTGGGTCAGGAGCTGCCAGTTCAGGAGAGAAGGGGCTGCCCAGAACAGAAGGGACAGGGCTCGAGAAGAAGCAAACAAGCCCCAGCCTTGGCTGATCTTCCAACCCACAGCATCTGTCCCTCCTTGGCTCCCCATCTTATCGTCTGAGAATATCCAGCATCAACCAGATTTTCCCATACTTTTAGTTCTCATGCGTGTGAATGTTTGGCACAGAAAACATCCATCAGAGGTCAGAAATTTCTGGTCAGCATAATAAAAGTTAACCACTGTCTTCTTCCTGCTGGGGGAAGAGGCAAGTAAGTAAACTCCCCAGCCTTAATCACTTCTGACAACCCAATTTCAAATGCCTCATTTTGATTAGAAATTTGTCTCATACACGGTTTAAAAAATTTCTGGCCTGCAGCAGCACTTCTTTGTGGGTGCTCTTTATGACCACTCAAAACTGTGAGCCTGATGACTAAACAGTGCGGGGCAGGGTAAAAAATGCCTTTGGATTCCCTTGGTCCATCAAGATCACAGCAGGCCTGACAAATCAACCAGCAACAGAGATACATTTTCATATCAATCCAGCTGTTCATTGTGGAAATATCAGAGCATACTCATTTGTGAAGAGACATCCCACCTTCTGTTCTGCCAGCTGACAGGGGCACCTGTCTGCTCCCCAGCTGTTTTCCTAAAAAAATTAATGGGATTTGGCACAACCTAAAGGCTGTTGGCCAAGCAGGGCTTCCTGAGGACCCATCCTGGGAGCCCAGAGCGAGCAGGCAGGGTAGGACACTGCGGGTCAGAGCCGAGGCTGGAGGGACCACAGGAGATGGTCTGGTCCATCCTGCTGGGCAGAGATGGGCCAAACACACCACCAGTCAGGCAACTGGTTTAAAATCTAAGCAAGACACATCTTAGCCCCAGGCTAAGTCACACACTCTGTTCAGCAAGGGCTGTAGGGAAGGCACGTTTGGAGCTCACCTTGTTTGCTGAGGGGATGCCAAGACTGTCCACGCTCGGCGACACTGCTGGAAGCTGAGGGGGAATTGAACCCCCTGTAGGTGGCCCTGAACACCACCCAGGTGTGCCTGTTTTTTACAGTGTGTCACTGCCACATCCTTTGCTTGGTTTGGGGCTGTTTTTTCACGTTTATAAGCTCAGAAGGGTAACGGTTTTGGTGTCATCATGTAAAGGTGCTTTGCATAAAAAAGCTGAAAAAGCAGCAAACAGCAGAATGCTCTGCACTCCTGGAGATCAGAGTGCAGGAACAGCTCTCTGTCACCAAAATAAAGGGGGTTCAATGTCAGGGGGCACAGCACAACCTGCACTCAGAATACGAGATAAGTCAAGCTGCAATGTTGTCAAGCAGCTG